TACTATATTTGAATATATAAATTATATTTTAAATTTATAATAAATAATTTATATTATAAAAAAAATATTTTTATTTATTGATAAATTATTTTAAAATATTAATATTTAATTCACATATAATCATAATAAATATAAGTTGAATTAAATAAGAAGTTTTTTCAAAAAAATTCTATAAATCCTCTTGTTAAAGAAAAATTCATAAAAACACTCTTGTCTAGGATAAGGGTTTGTGTTTAATATACATGGGTTAATTTTTAAAGTTCTTATTTTAAGTTTTTAACTTTTAAGCAAAAACAAAATTGAGTCAAACATAACCTAATTCATGCCCAAAACAAAATTGTCTCTAAAGATATATATAAAAAGAGAAAGAGAGAGAGAGAGAGAGAGAGAGAGAGAGAGAGAGAGAGAGAGAGAGAGAGAGAGAGAGAGAGAGAGAGAGAGAGAGAGAGAGAGAGAGAGAGAGAGAGAGAGAGAGAGAGAGAGAGAGAGAGAGAGAGAGAGAGAGAGAGAGAGAGAGAGAGAGAGAGAGAGAGAGAGAGAGAGAGAGAGAGAGAGAGAGAGAGAGAGAGAGAGAGAGAGAGAGAGAGAGAGAGAGAGAGAGAGAGAGAGAGAGAGAGGTTGTTAACACAAGTATATATCATTAATATTATTATACATAAAATAAAGGAAGATTTTGTGAACTTGTTTATATATAGTTAGCTTATAATTACATTACGTACTATTCAAAACTATCTATAATAACGTATTTATTTATAAACTATTTTTTTTCCACATTCCTACTACAGTATTTACATGTTAGGTTGATACAAGCTTACTATTGGATTAACGTGATTTGCTGGTAGATAAAAAATGACTACTATTTGGCCATCATTCTATGATAATAGGATTTTGCTGGGTTCGTGAAAATACAAAAGTCAATACTCCTATACCTTGAAATGTAACGGTATTTGCAGTTGCGTCCATGCCCCAACTGGTACCCGTAAAGACGTGAAAGGGTCTGGTACGATTGGTAGATCCATCTATTTTCCATTATAATTAATTAAATATTTTAAACAAGAAAATAAGGAGTGAGAACAATTATCCAATAAATATCAATAACTAAATAATATCCATAGAAATATTTTTAACCAATACTAAATGAATATATTAATTCTTCTTGATATAATAAAAATTTGAATTATGTTTTTAGTGACTAGTCGGTATAAATGAACATTATGATAACAAATAACTAAAGGTTATTTCACCTTAAGTTTTTATTCATTTAAATTCCCAAGGTAAACCTCCAACTAAAAATTAATTCAAACTTTTATTCTTATGGCCATAGAATAATATTTATCTTTATAACTACATGAAGAAATAACAATAAGATGAGCTTAGGATACTTTAACAAACTGTATTATAGTTAATATTAATATAAAAATAGTTAAACTAAATAAGTTTAAATATTTTTAATTGTTTAAAACATTTAATATAATGAATGTATTAAAGAATATTAATCTAGTAAATGACAGTGATAAACATTGTAAAATAATTAAATAACACAAATTAGTCACACCTCATTAATTATTTAGATAAAAAAATATCGTAGATTAAGAAAGTAAGTGAGGTTAGGGACACCTCACTAATTAAATATAGACAAACATAAAATAAATATAATCATATATATATGGCATAAAAATTTAAAAGAGATAAAAGTTTCATCCCCCTTACCTTAAGATTGCTTTTATGTTTCTTTTTTTTTTTTTTTCTCTTTCTCTTTGTGTGTATTATATTCAAACCTAGAAGTGATTTTTAAGTTATTATTTGTGAAAAGATAATTAATTTATCAAATATCTCATATTTAATTAACCATTAAAATAATAATTTTCATAAATAATTTATTATTTTTTAATATTCTCGATTTAATCCACAATTAAGATGTATTATTAATTTCACTAACACATAAAAAAAATGTGACATATATATATATATATATTTTAATTTTTAGCTTCCTAGGATTAACATAAAAATTTTTTATTCTAAAATAATTTAAAAGATAGAGAAATAAAAAGTATATTAAAGTATTTTTTCTTTTTTAACATTTCTAAATATAATTACACGTCATTATTATTTTATTTGTCTATTTTTTATTGAAAGTAAAATTATATAATTTTGGAGTGTACATGACCTTGTGTGAATTTTTATTTCAATTTTTGTCTTGTAAATTGTGACGGTTGGAAGAAACCGTCGCAATGTTAGAAAATTTTGCGATGGTTGAGAGAAACCGTCGCAATGTTTGAAAATTTTGCGACGATTTTGAGAGAAATCGTCGCAATGTTAAAAAATTTTGCGACGGTGGGGAGAACCCGTCGCAAGGTTGGAAAATTTTGCGACGGTTTTGGGAGAAACCGTCGTAATGTTGAAAAATTTTGCGATGGTTGAAAGAAACTATCGTATGAAGGGTCGCAATATCAAAGCGACAACAGTTTCAGGATAACCGTCGCAATTTGTCCGTCGCAATTCATCATTTTCCTTGTATATTCTTAAACTCTGGCAGCCTCCACAATCTTATTATACGAACTGAAGTGAACTCTTATCTTCCTGTCAATTCTCCCCGCTGCAATGTCCTTTAGTAATGTAAACTGTAACAGCCCAAAATCGTTGGGCCAGAGGCCCAATAGATTGCTCGGAACAGGCCGTTTCAAAAGTGAAATGGGCCGTTTCAGAATAAGAAA